TACAAAGAAAAAATGTTTTCAATTAAATTCCAGCTGGCCCACTGGAATTTCTCCCCTTTTTTTGGTAACAGCATCCCAATTTTTCTGTGGGGAATTACCCCCGCTCTTTGGCCATATGGTTAGGTGGGGGCTAATGATACTGATTGGCTCCAGTGGTGAGCACATGACCGCAGCCTGGCCAATAAGAACCCCACATTCTCCTGGCCCACTGACTGATTCAGAGATAGGAACACGACCCCAACAGGCCAGGAAAGCCCAGCCCTAGGACTTTTGATCAAACTACAAGGAAAAAGAAGTTATTTTTTTCCCACAGGAATTACAAAGCTGATAAGATATAAACTGGTCCTGTTTGTCACCACTTGAGGAAAGCTGCCTAAGAATGAAGACGAAAGCAGAGAAGAGAGTTTCTTCCTGTCGTTTGATCACCTGGATCCAGCTGTGACTACAGCCAAGTCCCTGGAGCTTTTCCACTCCACATGCCAATAAATTCCTTTGTGTTTGTTTGTTTAGGCCAGTTTAAACTGGGCTTCTGCCACTTCCTACCAAAAATATCCCAACGCAGCCTATTGGTGCCAAATAGCTGAGAATCTGCCACACTAAAATAAGAACATGGTTGATGTTCGCAGGTTTGTGAAAGCAGCCGAATGTCATTACCTTGAATTCACTTCTTTTTTTTGTTTTGTTCAGTGTGTTACTGCACTGTGATTTAATTTCAAAGAGACAGAAAGACAGGAAAAGAAAGGCTTGTTTTCTGATACGCATGTAGGCTTTTTCTTATGATGATTAAGTTTCTAGACATTGTCAACCATGCTTTCAAGTTCTAAAGGTGAACCTAGCTAGGTTTTGAGTTCTCTAGCCTGTTGTAGGACCTATGTACATCGTTATTCTCTCCACCACCAGAGAAAAACCCACTCCCCAAACTACCATCAGTTTTTTCTTACTCTCCTGGTTCCTGCCTTTTAGCCTACAGCAATATCCATGCCTCCTCCATGCCAAAAAATAATTTAAAAAAAAAATACAAAAGGAAAAACAAACTTCAATACACAAAATCAACCACACTCACAATTGGGCAGAAACAACCAAAAAACACTTGAAGAAAAGTGTAAAATGTTCATAATGATTGTCTCTGGTATTCTAACTGAATTTTTCTCTTAAAAAATACTTTCCTGTACTTTCCAAATTTCCTTGGTATTCTTTTTAAAACACAGTATATTTTGAAAATTTGCCTCCTCTTAAAGCCACCAACATCCCTCCATTCCTTACTGCCAAGCAGCATAAAACCAAAGACCCACATCACTCTCTCCACTTCCTCGCACCTGGCTCACTTCCACTTCGACTTTGTTATCATTCACACTGCTCAGCTGAAACTACAGTCCCCAGGGTGACCAATGTGGCCATCATGACACACGCAATGACTTCCCTTCCTCCTTCAGCCTCCGTGACCTCTTTGGACTATCAGCCATCTCTTCCCTTGGCTCAAGTTTGACTGCAGCATTATCCTCAGATATGGTAGTTTTTTTTTTTCCTTTCCTTCCCCATTAAGTCATTAAACAAATCTTATCAATTGCATTTTCTAATGCACCTTGTTTGCATCATCTCTTCTTTCCCTCTGCCATCTGACCCTCTTGTAGCCTCACTTCCATTATTCCTCTGTGCCTGCACCCTCCCTCATCCTATGTGTCACACTGCTTTGGGTGTTACTGCCCTAAAACTCAAACATAATCAATTAATTCCTCCACCTTAAAATCTCTATCAGCCCTTGAATGCATAAAAAAAACCAAGCACAATTATTGGCCTTGCACCCAAGGCCCTTCACAAGCCAGGCCTGCCCATCAACCTCATCTTTCACTTCTGCCCAGACTGTACCACAGGCTCCAGGGGATACCACCTGGTTGGCTGTTCTCAGACCTACTGTTTTCTTGCACTCCCATGCCTTTTTTCATGCTTGTCCTCTGCCCTGGGTTGCCATTTTTCCCCTTTTCTGCATGAACTCTTGTTCATCCTTCAGTTCCAAGACCAGCATTAAATTCTGAATATTGAAATAATTAGCACTTACCACACTGTATTTTGGTCCCTAGTAGACAGTGACCTACTTCAGGACAGATACATCATTTTATTTGTTATTATATACTAACTTCTCACCTATGGAAAGCAGCAAATAAATAAGAAAAAGGAGTAGTAGTAAAAACTGCAGACCCTTCCTAGAGAATTGATTTTTTTTAATATATAGTATTTCTGGCTTCCAAAAATAACTACCATTTTCCCACAAAGACTTTTCTGTGGTCTGCATAATATTGTGTTTCCCCTTTTCAAAGTTCTTTACTCTCAATACTTATTCTATTACTTTGGCCAGTTCTGGTTTGGGATCAGTCTGTTTAGATTTTTAAAAAATTTAATGTGCATAACAAAAAAATTAAGTCATCTTAATTTCTTAGCTTGTCATTCATTCATGGCATCACCTAATACTATAGTCAAGATTTATAAATCTATAGCTTCCACTTAAAAAATTGAACATGTTTGAATATACCTTTTGTGTAAGGAAAAGTAATATTATAATATTCTTTAACTTTTTCCAGTTAAATTGACTACATTTGTTTTTAAAAGGTCATTTATTTAATAAATTACTTTATTTTAAAGTTATAGGACATAGAATGAGGTACAGTCATAGAAAACCTAAATCTGAAGAATTCAGGATTTTAAATAGTGAAATAGTTAAGTAGTTACATGGCATCTCACATCCTGGAACAGTTAATTCTGTTGACAGAATCATCACTAAATTTTATTAGAAAAAGAAAGATGTCATGAAATCACTCCGTCCTTGAAGAGCAATGATGGAACTGATTCAACAACTATTTATTCAACACAAACTATGATCAAAGCATGACATGAATAACTCTAGAGCACAATAAAATGGGTAAGGCATTTCCCCACTCTCAATCCCCAAGGGAGAAAAGACAACAATGTGAAGAACGACGATATAAACGCAACACAATGCCTCACAAGAAAGGTCCAAAATGCTGTGAAGGTTCTGAGGAGAAAGACATGCTATGCAGCTGAGAGAGCCAGGAAATACTTCTCACGAAGGATAACACACAAGCCCTGCAGAACAGATGGCATTTCTATAAACAGAAAGGGAAAGGGCCATTCCAGGCAGTGGGCACGGTAAAACAAAACACAATGACAGGAGCAAGAAGCATGAGGTCGCAGGAGCCCCTGAGAACAGTGGCCAAGAGCAGCTGTGCACAGCCCTCCCGGCCCTGGGCTCTGCTCGCTCCCCACTGCAGGATCTCCTCCCACACCATGCGAGCCAGTCAGTTTGAGGCTAAAACATAAATGCTCTTCCTACTCCTAATAAATCCTGGGTTCAGTCCAGAGGACGATGGGAATAATTGAAAGGTTTTGAGCAGAGGTCCTACACAAGTGCAGGACAGTGCTCGAGGAAAATTAATGTGGCCACACATATAGAAACTAAAGGGAGAGACTGAAGGAGAGACCAAAATATTGCAATAATAGGAATACGGTCAGGGTGCAGAACTCGCTGTTGCTAAATGTTTGGGTAATAAACTCCAGGAGCTAGAAGCCATCGACTACTGCTTCCTTTGTATCTAAAGTCCTAATTTTAAAAATGCATATTCAAATATTTAATTCCCAGAAAGCTTTACAATCCCATTCTCATCTTCTCTAAATTCTTTGTAGTAAGAAATAAAGTTTGACTCCTTTTTTTTCTTTTTTTTGGGGACAGAGTCTGGCTCTGTCACCCAGGCGGGAGTACAGTGGTGTGATCTCGGCTGATTGCAACCTCCACCTTCCCAGTTCAAGCAATTCTCTTGCCTCAGCCTCCCAAGTAGCTGGGATTACAGGGGCCCGCCACCACACCTGGCTAATTTTTTGTATTTTTAGTAGAGACAGGGTTTCACCATGTTGGCCAGGCTGGTCTTGAACTCCTGACCTCAAGTGATCCACCCACCTCGGCCTCCCAAAGTGCTCAGATTACAGGCGTGCACCACTGCACCTGGCCCTATCTTTGATATTTGACCATGGACGGCTTTTGAGCCCCATCACTCCCCTTTCGCCCCACATCTGTGTAAGCCAATAAGAAAGTGGGGGCAATTCTTCCCTGTGCCAGCAGGAAGACCAAACCTCTGCCCATTCATAAGTAGCCTCAGCCCAGCCCATTCTCCAACCAAAATAAAAACCAGACCCGTTTGGATGGCTGCCCTGCTCTCCCCAGAAAGCCTCATAGAGTATAGCCTCAAGAGTAATACATCTTTCTGTACCCTCCTGAGATGTGGTGAATCAGTCTTGACATCCAACCCAGTTTTGGGTGGGACAGTTGATCCCACCCTTCACTGGGTAACCAGAAATCGTCTTAAAGAGTGAACTGCGGCAGTGTCCTTGCTATAGCTAGATTAGAGGCAGGACGATGCAGAGAGAGGGGCCATGGAAATCCCGAATGCGCCTGAGCTCCTGATCTCTCCACAGGGAGCTGCCCATTATTAAATGTACTGTGCTCTAAAGATAGCTCAATGGTGACTATGTTGAATGGCCCTATATATTCATTTGAATATCTAGTTATCAACTTTTAAAAAATTCAATGTGTACTTGGTAACTGCTTGGCCCCAGTCTTTCCTCCCCAGCTAACTCTAAAACACTGCATAGTCATAGGAGCTACGTGCTTGTTTCTCCTATAATCACTTGCTTTTAACTAAAAAAAAAAAAAAAAAAACAAAAAAAAAAACTCTACACAAGTTGGGATGGAAACACAATTCAACATTTCCCCTTCTTAAGATCCTTGAAGTGCCCGGCTATAAAAAGCACAAAGAACGTTCTCCAAATAGCACTTTAGTTACAACCAAATGATCATCTTGACATGTGCATTACATACAAAGTATTTCCATGTCTTTTCAGCCATACCCACAGAGATCTGAATGTCATAATCATGAAAAACAGCAACTTCCTCAGAAAGACAGCTTATAAAATCATTAATATTCAATACTTACACATCTTTGGCTGCTCCTGCAGGGCCTAGAGAAAAAAGAAGATAGGTTTGTATTGGTGTGATAGTATTGCTACAAAAATGTTGTCTAATACCTAACCAAAATACAGTAATATTCCTGAAGAGACAAGAAAATGGGTTTAAAAAATTTTTCAAAAACAGAGAAAGGAGGGCAGAAAATCATAAAACTCAAATCCTTTTTTTTGTTTTTCCAGACACAGTCTCACTTTATTGCCCAGGCTGGAGTACAGTGATGCAATCTCGGCTCACTGCAACCTCTGCCTCCTGGGCTCAAGTGATCCTCGCACCTCAGCCTCCTGGGCAGCTCGGAATACAGGTGCATACCACCATGCCTGGTTAATTTTTGTATTTTTTCTTGAGATGGGGTTTCACCATGTTGCCCAGGCTGCTCTCCAACTCCTGGGCTCAAGCAATCCTCCCACCTTGATTGCCCAAAGTGCTAGGATTACAGGCATGAGCCACTGTACCCGGCCTCAAATTCCAATCTTAAATCTCAAATTTAGTTTAAGTTTCAAATCTTAGCTTTGGAATCTATTCCACCCATCTTTAAGAATTCCTGCAAATTACACGGTGCCAGTTCTCAAAAAGATTTTACAGATCATGTTAACCCAACTTCCCATTTTATGAATTTCAAAACTGGCAGACTTCGAGAAACATTTTTTTTTCTAAGCCACACACCTTCTACGTTGATGTCTGCATGGCATGGTTAAGTCAAACTGCACCAATGCAAGCAATGAGCTAAATGAATTAGGAAGCCTTAAAGACACGAGCTTAGTTCCAAAAAGAGTCACATGTGTCTCTTAACTCTGCTCCCACTGGCTTCCCACCTGTGATGGTTAATACTGAGTGTCTACTTGATTGAACTGAAGAATGCAAAGTATTGTTCCTGGGTGTGTCTGTGAGGGTGTTGCCAAAAAAGATTAACATTTGAGTTAGTGGACTAGGAGAGGCAGACCCACTGTTAATCTGGGTGGGCACCATCTAATCAGCTGCCAGCGCAGCTAGAATAAAGCAGGCAGGAGAAGGTGCAAAGAGCAGACTTGCTGAGTCTTATGGCCTTCATCTGTTTCCCATGCTGGATGCCTCCTGCCCTCGAACATCGGACTCCATGTCCTTCAGCTTTTGGACTCTTGGACTTAGACCAGTAGTTTGCCAGGGGCCTTCAGCTATAGACTGAAGACTGCACTGGTGGCTTCCCTACTTTTGAGGTTCTAGGACTTGGACTGGCTTCCTTGCTCCTCAGCTTGCGGACAGCCTATTGTGGAACTTCACCTAATGATCATATGAGTCAATACTCCTTAATAAACTCTCCTGCATATATATATATATCTGTCTGTCCTATTAGTTCTGTCCCTCTGGAGAACCCTAATACGCCACCCATGTGAAAAAGACAGCCCATCTCTTCCGGTGCCCGTCCCCATTACTTCTCACAGATTCTCTGCCCACATTTCCTCCTCCCAATATCTTTATCCGGGAGGCACAGTACTTGGTTCCAACTCTTACAAGATATACGGTATTTAACATCCTTTAACCTCTTAAAACCTCACTTCCCTTATGTCAAATGAGGGTAAGAGAGTATCTTTCTCAAAGGTTATTGTGAAGATTTAAAAAGACAATGTGTAAAAAGACAATGTAAACACTTAACACAAAGCTGGCACATAAAAATAGCACACTAAGTTATTAGCCGTCACACTTAAGTTAATATTTCAATTTTGATATATATTAAATAGAAATTAAAATAATTCGTGCACAGTCACAGAGGTATAAGAATAAAGGAAGATGCGCTACAAAGTAAGTAAATAAGTCTGTGGGGGAGTTATTGCCAAATTGCAAAAACAATCCAACAATGATATTCATTTTGCATCTGTAATACTGCAAATTAAAAGCTGATCCTAAAGATAATTGAAGCTATGTCTCAAACAAATTCTTTCAAGGCTTTGACTAAACCTAAACTTTGCAATAAATTCAGTTCCTTTCTTCAGGGAAAAACATTTCTGTGGCACCATTACTGTTAAAATTATATAAACTGTTTTAGAATCAGAGATTATTAAACCAAAAAATCCTAAACTTAAAAAAAAGTCTTAACATAGGAAAAACTGCCAACATAGAGTGTTTTTGATAGAAAAAAAAAATAAACAAAAGATTAGTGCCACCATAAATCCGTGAAAATGAACGTTTTATTTTAGAGTCAAGCATGAGAATCTTTAAGAAAATCTATGTAAATCAAAAAATATTGAGATAGGTCTCAATCAATTCAGTTTATTTTGCCAAGGTTAAGGAAAGCCTGTGACACAGCCTCAGAAGGTCTGGAGAACATGTGCTGAAGGTGCTCAGGCTACAGCTTGGTTTCATATGTTGTGGGGAGACATAAGATGACAATCGATACCTAGACCATGTACACTGGTTTGGTCCAGGACAACTCAAAGGTGGTGGGGGCATGGGGGGGAGGGTTGTTTCCGGGTCACAGGTGGATTCCAAGATTTCCTGATTGGCAACTGGTTGCAAGAGTTTATTTAAAGATCTAGAATCAATTGATTCCTGGAATTGTCTGAATTTAGAGATTGTGGAAACCAAGGTTTTATTTTGCCAATGAAGCTCCTTTAAATGTTTCTCATCAGACTTAAAAAGGTGCCAGGGTGGCACCATATGAAGCTCCTTTAAATGTTTCTTATCAGACTTAAAAAGGTGCCAGGCCAGCACCGTGGCTCATGCCTGTAATTCCAGCACTTTGGGAGGCTGAGGTAGGCGGATCACCTGAGGTCAGGAGTTCAAGACCAGCCTGGCCAACATGGTGAAACCCTGTCTCTACTAAAAAGAAAATACAAAAATTACCCAGGCATGGTGGTGGACGCCTATAATCCCAGCTACTTGGGAGGCTGAGGCAGGAGAACTGCTTGAACCCGGGAGGCAAAGGTTGCATTGAGTTGAGATTGCACCACTGCACTCCAGCCTGGGCAACAGAGCAAGTCTCTGTCTCAAAACAAAAACAAAACAAAACCAAAAAACAACAACAACAACAAAAAAAAAAAACTGCCAGACACTAATTCTCTCCTAGATCAGGAAAAAGACCTGGAAAGGAAAGAGAATTTCTCTACAGAATATAGATTTTCCTCTCAAGTGACAACTTTGCTTAGCCATTTCAAAATACGTCAAAGAAATATATTTTGGGGTAAAATACTTTGATTTCTTTTCTTTTTTTTCTTTTCTTTTGTTTTTGGAGTCTCATGCTGTCACCCAGGCTGGAGTGTAGTGGTGCCATCTTGGCTCACTGCAACCTCCGCCTCTTGGGTTCAAGCTATTTTCTTGCCTCAGCCTCACGAGTAGCTGGGATTACAAGAGTGCACCACCATGCCTGGCTTATCTTTGTATTTTTTAATAGAGACAGGGTTTCACCATGTTGCCCGGGCTGGTCTCAAACTCCTGAGCACAGGCAGTTCAATTGCCTCAGCTTCCCAAAGTGTTAGGATTACAGGCATGAGCCACCACACCCGGCCTGACTTCTTTTAGAGCCTGCTGTCATGTTGGTATCTTATTGCTACAAAGAGTCTGCTTTGTCAGTCTTATTAAAGTCTGTTTTAATGTTAAATGCTGATCGGTTGTACCTGAATTTCAAAGGGAAGAGGGTATAATGAGGCATGTCCAATCCCCACTTCCATCATGGCCTGAACTGGTTTTTCAGATTAATTTAGGAATGACCTTGGCCAAGAGGAGGGGTCCATTTAATCAGTTGGGGGAGCTTAGAATTTTCAGTTTACATCGAAAAAGAAAATATTATCTTCTTAGCTTTTCTTTTTAATTTTTGTGGAAAAGGATAAAGAATGTGTTTGGGTTTTGCTGTAGTCAGGGGAACGGAGAGCCAGAGGTGAGCCTTTGATTCTTCAAGCCTTACAGAGGGAAGAAAACAACGATTATAATGTGGACCATGAGTCCTCAACATTTTTTTTTTTTTTTTTTTTTGAGACGGAGTCTCACTCTGTTGTCCAGGCTGGAGGGCAGTGGCACAATCTCGGCTCACCACAACCTCTGCTTCCTGGGTTCAAGCTATTCTCCTGCCTCAGCCTCCTGAGTAGCTGGGATTACAGGCACCTGTTACAACACCCAGCTAATTTTTTTTGTATTTTTAGTAGAGACAGGGTTTCTCCATGTTGGCTATGCTGGTCTTGAACTCCTGACCTCAAGTGATCCACCCGCCTTGGCCTCCCCAAGTGTTGGGATTACAGACATGAGCCACCACACCCGGCTGAGTCCTCAACATTTAAAGACGAGGGATGATCCAGTACAATCCACAGGAAGAAGGGAGTGGCCAAGGCTGCCCTGCTACATCTCAGGAATGGCAGCAGGGGGATGGGGTAAGAACAGCATGGAATCGGAAGGCAGATGACGGGAGTCGGGTCCCTGCTCCAATGTCTGTCTGACAGTCACTAAATCACTTTGTTTCAGCATCTAGTAAATGAGGACTTACTGGGTCAACAAATGCAGCTAGGAAGGCAAAGCACAGTAATGTGTGTGAAATGAGAAATGAGTTTACAAATGGCCACATGTTGTGCATTCAGTGCTTATTTTAATCAGCATCAAGAACTCTCCATCCACTTCACCTTGATTACACCAAGCTATGGGCACCATCAAGGGCCTCTTCCCTGCTGGGCTCACCATTTAACATCCCAGCAGACCCAAGAGACATGTGTGGTGTCACCATTTAAAACAAAGTCAACAGATCATTCCCTCTGTTCTAAAACAGCCCTCATTTGAAAGGGCATCATCAACAGAATAACTGCAATGGTAGAGGTGGGGCAAAGAAGTCAGAAACACTACAGGAAGAGTGTGCGTGTGTGTGTGTGTGTGTGTATGATTGTAAAATGTGCTCCATTTTTTAAGAGGGGAGAAAATGTGCATCTTAGAAGCAAGGTAACATGGTGGTTATTGAGAAGCCTGTAACCAGGGTGATGAGAATATGACTCCCTAACACACAACTTCCCAAAAGAAAAAAAAAAAAAGGTTGCAAATGTTG